CTGTTCGCATTAGGGTCAAACCTATTGCTTCTAGATATGTATCCCAAAGACAAAATTTGAGGAAGAGTAAGCAAGTTTGGGTGAATTTACGTCTCATTCAATTCAATACATATTCCACTTTTTAGTCAACAGCTAATGAAAGGGACGTCAATTCTGCTACTTACTACAAATCTGAAGAATTGAAAAAGCATAAAAACAACCTCTCATATTACAAATTCATCACCATCCAATGTCCCGTGGGTAGGGCTATCTATCGGGCCCGTCTCCAGGTGGCAGATCGGAAAACGGCCAGGAGAAGGGGGCCCTGTCCGGGAAGCCAACGTGGCCTTACGGACGGGATCACCGGACTCCTGGTTAGTGGCAGAAATAAGTTGGGTGAGGGGAACTAAAACTCCCCAAAAGTCACTGCGAAACATGCCACCGTGAACCAGCCTACCCAAGCTGAGGTGTAAGGAATCGTGCCGACAGCTGAAAGGCCGCAGGGTGATATGCTATTACGAATGATCCCCTTGAGAAACCGGGCGAAACCTAATTGTGATCTGTCATCCTCTGGTATTCGGTGCTCTGCCAGAAGTGACCAACTCTTCCGTTACTTCTCATGGGAACACACATGAAAACAATCTGCACTGATAGCAGACAAGCCCTATTAGCCAACGTGTTACCTGAGGGCTAGTACTAGAGTGCCACCAAGATTTAGCCAAAGCCTCGGTAGATAATAACATTATCCTGAGGTGGGTTGAAGAGCACGATAAAAGTAAAGGTAATCGCATTGCCGACTCTTTAGCCAATGATGCGGCTGGACTAAAAATTTTAGGTCCCAGTGGCACCTACGGCCTGATGACTTCGATAATTGCAGAACTTGCCGAACGTCACACCCATGCTCAATCCCTTAAGAGATGGGATGGAATCAAAGGATGCAATCTTGTCAGGATCACTCTGGGCGACCCTGGAAAGCTGGCACCAAAGAAATATCTGACGATGACCAGGCTTAATAGTAGGATTTATGACTGTCAACTGAGAAAACACCTCCAAAATATGGGGCTAGTGGACACACCTTTATGCAGAATGTGTGAACAGAAAGATGAAACTGTCAGGCATCTCCTATGCGAATGTCCAGAGTTATCATCAATAAGAGAGTGTGTGTTCGGCAAGTCTTGACCTACACCTGCCGATATAAAAGAGATGTCTCTCAGAGGCCTCCACCTTCCTAGAAAGGACAGGATGGAGGATGACCTAGAAGGACAACTCCTTGGGAGGATGTACAATGGGTTACATGTGGCCTAAGTGCTATGAACCTACACTCACCCTCTGTACTCTACAGATACAGATACCATCCACTGTTTTGTTGAAACGTGGCAGGCCAGATCCTCCGAATACCACTGATGGAGTCTACGGAGGATCAAAATAGCGATGTTTAGTATTGAATAATAGTTCCAACATTTTCGGTTCTGGTTTCATTATAATAGAAAAACAGAAAATGAATTCCACAAAAAACATGAATTCAAAGTGTTCAGAAAATTATATCACTTATATTTCTTCAACATATTTCTACAAAAACATTGATCAAAATTTTCCAAGATTTCAGGTGTCAATACTTGATTGTTGAATTTTTTTTTCGATTCCAAGTCTTACTTTAGTGATTGTGTTTTTTGTGATACATCAGGATATTTCCCCAGATATGTTTTCTTCAACTAAAAATATCTCATGAACTTGTCGAAATTTCAGCATAATTAGTGACATCCATCTTCTTGTTTATCTCCACTCATTGAGAACTACCTCTGTAACCTAATTTTAGTAATTAGCACACTTTGTACATTCATTACAACCTTACCCAATTAACCTTTTCGTGCAAGTAATTAGTGATTCAATACACAATTTTTGCGAATACAGGGTAATACCAAAGTTCGAATTATGTATTCAATGTTTTCAAATGACGGTATGTATGTTTCTGTTTCATTGTTTGAGTTGTTGATGGACTTGTTTGTGAGGCCCCTCTTATTAACTCATGTTTCTTCAGGACCAAAAGAACGGTGTAGATATGGATGCAATTTTAGGGTAGGTACAATTTTTTCACAACTAGTTAAAACACCCAATTGGCGAAAAAATAATCGTAATAATTTGGTTCAAATGCTTGATCATCCAACTATTCTAGATGTTCAACCATATTTATCCACAAGACTCTTGAGCGAAATGATATATTTCCTAAAATGCGATAGTGTTAACACTAGAAGACATGTCGATGGCTTCAATACTGCATATTCCAATTTAGTAAGTAAAATATCTCAATAATTTACCCTTTTTCATTCTTCTTCTTTTCGTCATTGATTAAAAAACAGACAACACCTTATCAGAATGACAAATAAAGTCATTCGTTTGTTTCATGTGGTTCTGTGTTGTAAGCTTTACATTGATTCACTACGATAAACAAATCCAACGTAATTGCCACCTTTCTTCCTTGCGCATTGGTTTGTGAGGCCGCTGCAAGGATTTATCGTGACTCATACCTATTCACACTGAACCAAACAAACCCGGTTCTGCCCAACTCCAAACACCTGAATCGAACCCCAGCGGGGCAGGCACAAAGTATGTGCTCTGCTGTTTCATAATTTTCCAAACAAAGGCGACACACACTGACACTGACAGTGTCAGTGTGTGTCGTAGTTCATTCCTGCTATAGTCCAACAACTGTTTGATATCGAGCTTCGAAGGGTGGATAAACGCCTTGGAGGGGGCCAATTATTGAAGATTCTTCCAGAAGTCCATGAATTTCTTTGCCATCCAGGTGTTAAATCTTTGTTTGGAATAGGCTAAAGCGATGCCAACGACAGGTTCTGGTCCGATGAAGCTGCTTGCAGCATCCTTCTTTGCAAGGGAGTCAGCAGAATCATTGCCTTCCAGGCCACATGGCCAGGCATCCAGACCAGAGACAATCGGTCTTCCTATCGAGGAAAGTCGTTTTTGGCAATTTGCCACCAGTTTAGGCGTTGCTCGGTAAGAGCCAAGAGTTTCCAACGCCGCTTGACTGTCCGAGAATATTTTTATTGACTTGTGTATGAGGTTGAATTCTTCCAATCTCTCCACACATAATTCAATAGCGTAAATTTTCGCTTGAAATTCAATCGCATAGGTTCCTAGGCAGTTTATTATCTCTGTTTTGGGTCTGCGACTGAAAACACCTGCACCAGAACCTGAAGATATTTTTGATCTATCTATGAGCCAACAACTATCTTTTCTTAATATTTTCTTCTTCCGGAGGATCCAGTCCTCTCTACTCGGGAACAGTACTTCATACGGCAGTTCGTAGTTGACAGTTGGAGGCATAAAGTCAGAGGTCATTTCCAAAATGTTGTGACTTCCAACGTCAACCAACAGTCTGTTGTACTCTGCATTAAATAGATTTGTGCAATTGGCAATGTGCACAAGTCTATATGCAGTCCATCTAGCCTCTCTCTCCAGAAAAATGTAGAGAGGAGGTAGATACACACACCTTAGGATTAAGCCACAAGTGATTCTGTCGTTCCCTTATCTAGCGGGGCTACGTGGAAGCAGGCATCGGATGGACCGGTTTGCTCAACCCCCACATCCCAAGCCAATGCACTCGCAAAAACAGCAGGCACAGTGGTTCAGGCAGTGAAAGATGAACAAAGACAGCCAACCCACTCAAGGTAACGGATGTATTTATTTGATGAAAAATAGTAACGTATCCATCTACACAGATTTCCAATTACCACATTATATGGGACCATTATTTCAAACATTGAAATGTGTGAAGTAAAGGTATACATATGCCATCGTGGCTTTTTTGTAAACCTATGAAAAAAGTACATTATGTAGTGATTTGTGTTGTTTTATATCAAAAGAATTAGGCAGCCTTTTTGGCACAGATGGCACATGATAAATAACATCGCCATATTTCAACCAATTCCCACAAAGCCCATGGATCATACATATGAACGTTCCTTGTGAAAAACTTCTTTCATTAGTGCTAATTGTATGAAAATCCATTCGATAATTCTGTGTTCATCGCGTTTTTAATAATAAATGAACATAAAAAAAAATCTGCATCACACGTGACCAAATTTCCATAGTCCTATTTGGATTGTGTAGAAAACACACATTCCTTTTGACGCTTATCTCAAAAAAAAGGACTGAAAGAGTTTCGGCTCATTATGTGATAAGTTTAATCCTAACAATCTATATTTGTGAGGAAGTGTTTGGAACCTTTGGTGTATTAATGAATATTACTGGAGTTTAATCCCAACACCAAACCGTTATTTTAACACTTCGACACGTGTTTCGATCACCAAGTGATCATCTTCAAGAGGAAGAGTAAATTGTTCAATCTTCCTCTTGAAGATGATCACTTGGGGATTGAAACACGTGTCGAGGTGTTAAAAAAACGGTTTGGTGTTTGGATTGAACTCCACTAACAATCTATGATGAATTGCTCCTTTTATGTTTTTGGATATTCTTAACATAAGTGAAATTAATACAGGGTATCATTCTCCTGTAAACATTGATTGATATTGTCGATAATTCAATGTCACAAAATTGAAACACCCGATATGCCAAAACCTAGTTCAATATCACACCTCAGAATTCGTTTGATTTTTGAACATCATTTTTCAAGTCAATAAACTAGATCAATTATTTCCGACACACAAAGAGTCAACAATATTTTTTTTTTTGGGAACATATTGGAGAGTTGAGCTCAGTCGGAAAATGAAGAATAAACATTTTGCTAGTTCGTATCTCCCCTGGTTCATTATTATTACTATGTAAGTACTATTTTTAATTAGTGTATGCTAGTTTTGGGAAATAATAAATACTGTCATTTAACACTTAACAAACATCCAGAGAACTTTCTATTGTTTTCGTTTCTTTGAATTATTTGTTTATATTTTCTGATTCCGAATCGTTAGAATTCGACTCGAAGAATCACCCTAAATAGAGTGTAAACTGGGCTACATCAATTCTTTCAGTACCTTCGCGATTACATTCGATTTGGTTAATCTAGTGTAATTTGTATACGACTAGAGCACGCGTAGATTTAACACCGTCAAAACGCAATGAAGACGATTGCCGTAGTGACCCTGTTGATGTTTTTCTGTGGTGGAATTGATAGTAGTTATTATTTGCAAGATACCAGACCGCGATACCTAACAGCTGCTGTTGGTGATCACATAGTGTTCAACTGTGAAATCGATTTTCCTCAGAGTTTTCCAATACCTTATAAACTTTTCTGGAAGAGAAGGGTAAGTTCTGTGGTTTCCATGAGTGAAATGTTGAGCTATAGAGGATCGGAGGACTATATTTGATCACCAATCACAATTTTTTCATTTTTATATTTATGAGTTAGAATTTGAAGTTCCAAATTGAATCAACAAATTATCATTATTATCAAATACAACTGAACTTTTATTGAGTATTCAACCAGAAGATAAGCTACATAAATTTTTTCAAACGCACTATCCACTGTTTCCGAAATAAGTGTGTTAAGTACATTAATGTGCTAAATCCAGCGGAAATAATCTTCCCAATCCAAACGTAATTGAAAGCTTTTAAACTCATGAAATTCCCGGAAAAAACAAAAGTTTGTTTATCATAGAATATCCATGAAAGATGATATTCTATTACTTACTTGTAAGTACCTGAGTTATAAATTATCTCTAAGTCTCCTGTTTTCTCCAGAACGCTGCATCTTTCACGGACAAATGGCTTTTTCCTCTCATCCTTCTATATTTTTCCATTACAACAATATTTTTCCCTGAATTATAGGTTCTTTACTAAACTTTTACAGTTTTCTTCTGAACACAATCTGAATAGGCATGGTAAGAGCATCCAAAAATGAGATGGGATTTATGTATGATAAAAAACGTCTTTATTCTTATATTACATTAGAAATAGGTATTTATTTTCTATAAAATGAACTGACAACATACATTAGCCCGCCATAATGAGTAAAACAAAAATTGGAGCCAATGACGTCACATCTATGTGAATATTATTTCCATATGAGTTCAAAATGAGTTCAAAGTTACTGTGTAGTGAAAGACATGTTGCGATTTTGTGAACTGTTAGATCTCACAATGAAGTGTCACTTAATATCTATTATATACTATAATAATGATAATAATGCAAATAATAATAATTCCCAATGATCACTCACCCCACGGCGTGGGGAGTGGTCGATGGGTCAGGCCCTATCCACCGATGTCTCGAATGTATCGGGACATCGGTGGATAGTGCCTGACCAGCGCATACTTCGGTAAAAAAAACCGAGTTGCAACCCTTTCAGCAAAAGGCTCATATAAAAACAGGAGAGATCACCTCACTTCTGTGGCAACACAAGAATAGGCCAATGCATGGGGTCTTCTTCAATAACAAAGCGCCTGACTTTCGCTTTCCTCAAGTCGAGTGGGCTGAAGTCGAAAACTGAAGGATTCATCATGGCATGCCAGGATAGTGTATTCAACACCTTAGTCTACAGCAGTCGCGTGATGGGTATAGAGGTTCCTGACACAAAGTACAGGGCCTGCCACGAGGCGTCCGAGAACCTAATGCACTTGCTGTCAGCATGTTCAGTATATGCGGTCTCGGCCTATATCCATCGACATAAAGCGGCCCTAAGAGTCTTATATTACCATTTACGGCACTCTTACGGTATTGACAAGACACTGGTATTGCCCTACGCTCCGGGAATATTCAATCCGTTGTGGGGAACGAAAAGTGCCGAATTTATTGAAACTATTCGTTCCCCACCCTCAGACTCATCTAAGCTAATGAGCCTGATGTAGTCCCTCTCCAACCATCAGAGCAAGACGATATTTATCGTGGAGTTTTCAGCACCTGTCGAGACGAATATCATCCGAAAAGAGGAGGAAAAACTGATAAAATATCGAGACTTTCTCTTCGAACTCCACAGACTCTACCCAGACCACTTTGTCAAGACGGTTGTTCTGACTATTGGAGTTCTTGGTGGAATGATGCCCTTTCTACTGTCGAATCTCAAAGTTATACCGGCTTGTCGCACTGAGGCAGAAATCTTAGCCGGACAGATGCAAAAGGCTGTCATTCTTGGCACAGTGTGCTCGCTCAGGGCACATGATTCTCGGGCCCAATGATCAATTACGATCACTTGATATGAACGTAAAAATACTGAAATATTTTAGCTATTGCCTACAGAAGCCAATGTGTCGTAGAAGATTATTGTTTGTTCAGAAGATGCTTTTTCAGGCAGTACCTGAAACTGGAAACAGATTTCGATCAAAAGGAAGGTGGTTGGTTGTTATAGACTTTAGCTATCGTTTATGTAAATGACCTTTTGAATAGTTCAATGGAGTACCTAACAACGTGGATCATTTAACAACTGATGTTCACATTATGTACATCAGTTCGATAAGTTATTTTTGTATAGAGGCAGGGAAGTGTTTTATCAATAATAACTCAGTGAAATAATGTCGAAAAATGAAGATTCCCCATATCGTACTTTTTCAGCTACCTGGTTTTTTTCAGTATATGAGAAATCGGTTCTCCTTTCTTGTTACCGTATGAAAATACCAAACAAGAATTTTCAACTCTTTGAATTCGTTGTTTCTATTTTTTGTTCAGAAAATAATGATATACTACGTCATAATGGTTGAAATTAGATAGTAGCATCGAATTACAAATTTCAAAGAAATTTTCTTGAAATCTGATATGTGGCTCCCCACTCTAACAATTTTTTGTTTATGTGAAAGATATGAATCGAAAAATCTATGAGAAAGTCCGTTATAATGTAATATAGATCGAAATAGTTGATGATTCAATGTATCAAAAGCTTTACTAAAGTCGATCAATATTAGGGCAGTTATTTTGTCTTTATCCTATGCTGTGACGATATCATCTAATATGTTCAATTAGGCTGTAGCACAGCTAAATCTTGTACCCTAAATCTGAGCAGAGCACTAGAAGTTACACGACTAAAGTTATGTCGTCAGCATCAATCACAAATAATGGCGAGGTCATCACAAAAGTAACCCCTACACTGCGAGGGAAGGATATGTAGTGCACGCTAATCCCAATAAAAACAGTGCAGATTCCATCTACCGTAGGAAAAAAGAATGAATGTCAACCCCAACTTCGGAAACACCTCAGAAATGGAATGATATAATGATTTCATATAATGTAAGTAGCATTTTCTTCAAGTCTACAGTAGCAACCTGGTTGTGCTTTAGATATGCTTCGCTAGTTCGTGAAACTGAAAATTGCCTACAAATTGTCCATCTAGTCGGAATACTGATACATCCAAAAGTGACATCGAGACTAGTCTGGGAGAGCCATGAAGAACTGACAGGAATAGCAAATTGAAATAGCTTATGGGTGAGCTGGACACGGAGCTGGACACGTAGCTGGAGACAAACAATTTGTAGATAACCTGAAACATGTTTAGGAGAATATGACAAATATCCAAGAAAATAATTTTTTAAACTACTACAGGGAACAAGATAACTGAAAATGGGTTGATGGAATGGTTGTCCTAGAAAGATTAGAAGAAAAATGCAATGAGGCTACGGCGTTTTCCGTAGACTTGAAATGTAGCTGCTAACATTGCATTCAAGAATCATCAAACAGACACCGAGCAGATCTTGAACCACGAAGTTTGTGCGTATAAAAATTATGTATTGGATCACATTATATTCCACATACATTACGACAAGTAGGTGGGACTTGGAAAGGAAGTTTGAGGATCACCTTTCAAGTCTTTACAAGAGGTATAGAAAAAACTGTGGGCCAAAGTGTTTTGTTTTCCAAAAAATTCGCCTTCAATATTGATATAGTTTTGCATGCATTCAAATCAGTTCTCAAAATAATTTAAGGAGGTATTCAAACACCAAAGTTGAATTTTTCATCATTCCGTCATACCAATTATTTTTGATCGTTGGTCAATTGAAAACATATTTTTTACAGTTCATGATGAACCAGAACGCTTCTGTTTTACTTCATGACACATGTCAATCTTCTCTTATCATCGTTTTCCTTATCGAATCAGTAGCAACTTCAAGGGAATGTCCGTCTTCACCAGGAGCTTTGCGGTGAACCACTGATTCTACTTGGATATATGCTCTACCAAATTAATTTTCGACACTTTCGATCGAGTAAAATGATATTCGTTCATTTTGTTCAATCAGTAATTCCATATTTTTGTGAGAGTTTATGGAACAACTGATGTGAAGTGTAATGACTTGATTTGAAATATGAATGTCAGACTGCATTTTATATGAAAAATACTTATTTATTTCTGAATATCAAGCATCGAAAGACTGATGGATTTGAACCTTGTATCTTGAGTCTTGTTTGTTGGTGGTTACAGTTATTCCTTGCATCTGTGACGTCCTCTTTTCTGTTTTAGTAGTGAGTTGAATAATTCCTGCATTTCCATTTCAGGGCGTAGCAAATCGTGCGGAAGCGAGCCACGTGAACCAACATCTGGGTTATACTGAGATCTGACATGTCGCCAGTGAGAAGTAGATAATTCCTGAATCTGAGCCACTCTATTGGCAACAAAAGTGCACCATTTATGAGGAGATGAATATAACCACGAAAGCACAATGGTAGAATCCGTCCATGCAGTAAAGCTCTCGAGTTGAATTTGGGATTCAATAGTCCTGAGAGTATAACTCAATAACAAAGCTGCACAAAGTTCGAGACGGGGGATAGAAAGCTTCTTTACAGGGGCTACTCGCGACTTCCCTGCGACAAAATGGACAGATGCAGAAGGCTGTCATTCTTAGCACACTGCGCTCGCTCAGGGCACAAGATTCTCGGACCCAATGATCACTTACGATCACTTGATATAAACGTAAAAATACTGAAATACTTTAGCTATTGCCTACAGAAGCCAATGTGTCGTAGAAGATCATTGTATGTTCAGAAGATGCTTTTTCAGGCAGTACCTGAAACTGGAAACAGATTTCGATCAAAAGGAAGGTGGTTGGTTGTTATAGACTTTAGCTATCGTTTAGCATTCTTGTTGGTTAGTAAGTAAAANTTAGCATTTTTGTTGGTGGTTACAGTTATTCCTTGCATCTGTGACGTCCTCTTTTCTGTTTTAGTAGTGAGTTGAATAATTCCTGCATTTCCATTTCAGGGCGAGGTTATATATTCGTGGCATGACGGACTTATCACGGAATCAGACGATTACGTGGGAAGAATAGCACTAATTGATAAATCGCAACAACGACATTATGGTCTTGCATCTATTAATTTAACTTCCATCAGAGAGTCTGATGCTGGATGGTTTGAATGCAGGGTTCTTTTTCCCAATAGAACACCTCCTTGGAGAAATAATGGAACTTGGTTTCACCTCACTGTGAGCGGTAAGCAAACTCTACATGGAAAAGTGTATCAGTGCAATATCGATTTCATTGTTTCAGTGTGACGTTGTGTTATTTTGATTCAATTTCTATATCGCGAAAAAGTACATCACTCTCCACTTTTGAATCAATACATAATGATATAATGCCTTTCCATACAGAACATTTATAGTGATAGTAATATTTCCTTCGTTTTGGACAGGTGGAAACTTGCTGGCGATTCCCCCAATAAACCAGACCGTTACAGAAAGTCAAGAAGCACAATTCGCTTGCCTAACGAAAGATTATGCTATCAGAGTAAAATGGTTCAAAGATGGCATCCCTCTTGATGAATACCATGATCTCCAAACCAGGTCCTGGATCAACAAAGATCATACATTGGTTATCCGTCCTACAGATTCTGGTGATTTTGGGGAGTATGAGTGTGAAGCATCGAATGCAGATGGGGAAAGACAAACAGCCAGGGCTTTTCTGAATGTTCAATGTGAGTATATTTCATAAAAATACAGTCTTTCGCAACTCACGGTTTCAATATTTGAAATGGTTCCAAACAGTGCATCACAAATATTTGAAATAACAAACATCACAAAATGATCACGAATGTGTCTTTCATCTGATATCCAAAAACTGTTTTGACTTTCATAAAAAATATGCGATTTCTGCAGAAAAAAGGAACTACACTAATTCTATTCCGCAATGTGCACCTTTTAGATAATTCACTTTATTGATATAGGAATCTAGGTTTTCACGGCTGATGTCAATGTTCTGACTGGCTCCGAGTTTTACCGTAGTCATCTTTGGTTATAATCTCGAAACGTTTCAACTGCAACTGCGGCAGTCATCTTGAGTGGCGGGGTCGAAGTACTCGTTTTGATGTGTCAACTGACGTGTCAGTTGACCACGTGTCATCTGACGTGTCAGTTGACCACGGCAAAACCCTAAAGCCAATCAGAACAATCACTTTGTTGAACTCTTCTGAAATATGGTACTGAACAGTGCTCACTCAGAAGGTCCTTGAGAGTTTAGTCACTGATGTTCATGACTGAGTATCAATTGTTATGAAAAAGTCATTGCAGATTTCTGTGAAACCGTTGTAAGATCTACTGAAATAGTTAGCTGAAGTTTGAGCGTGAGGTGGAAATTCTTAAGTTTTGATAATAAAGTATCCCTATTCCACAATGATATTTATGTGCAAAATATATAAAAATGAATTAGGGTCCAGTAGCAGAAATAACCATACCAATCAAAGAATTATCAACAGCAATTATGAAAAATAACCTTATCATTAGCAAAATTCAAAAACCATAAATTGAATTCGATATTTTCAATCAATTGTTCTCAAGAGCAATGCTTTCGGTCCGATAATAAAAAAATATTTCTAATAATCTGACTAAAACGAAATACAATTGAATGACAAGAATTATATGGATTTCATGAAAATTCTGTGCCATTCAAGCATAACTGAAAAACAAAAGACAAATTCAGTAAATGAGCGGAAGAAAATCCGATGAAGCAAGCTTGTTGTGAGTGTTAGGAATCACACGTTGGAAGGTAAGACCTCGTAAGTCTTTAGCTTGCACAAGTTTCGACTTTTGAGATTTGTCGTTCGTAGGGGAGCGACAGCTAGTTAACGGAAAAACATATTTCAACAGATTTTTCAACCCTAATGCATAATTGTGTAGGATATACGATCATTAAATTATATAGTTTGCAGTCTGAAGTGTGCAATATACAAAATATCATAAATTACATGTCTATTTCATGAATGATATCTATAATCGATATTGATTTGTTTTCCAAAGAAGTATTTTTCGACTCATATTCAGACTAAAACCAGATGAATTCAAACGAATACATTTTCAAAAATATTAAATCTTAACATCTTCATGTAGTTACGCACATTTGAGAAGAAACCCTCGTATAGAGGTATACAATTTTTCAATCATCTTCCCGCNTAATCTTGTCAAAATGTGCCTTCAGAAATAAAAATATTAACTTAATTCTTGTGACATTATTTTTCTCATGGTTTGTAACATATCATGTTTCATGTTAGGAATCACACGTTAAAAGGTAAGACCTCGTTAGTCGTTAGCTCGCACAAGTTCTCAACTTCTGAGAGTTGTCGTTCGTATGAGGGCGACAGCTGATTAACGGAAAAATGAATTTTTTTTTTAAACAGATGTGATATGGAAAGACTGAATAAAGATTATTATTAATGATGATACTGAATCTTGTAAAATAGAAAAATTCGATACAGTAAAAACATCTCTATAGTGAAATGAAATGTCAAGCAAAAGGTTCTGCATATAGTGAATTTGTGAAATATTTATACTATATATAATATGTTTTTCCGATTCCTTAAAAATAATAGATTCTTCGATTGTTTGACTATTTCACATTTTCTATGATCGAAATAATCCTAGAAGTAGCATTAAAGATCATCAAATTGTTATTTGAATAATTATAGGTAGACACAGGTAGAAACAACAACAATGAGTAATGAAAGTGAATTGAACTCATTTTTTGAAAAAAAATCCATAGTGAGAAACAATTTGTAGTGGAATGGTTTCTCAATATAAAGCTATATTGCTGAATATCAGTACTTTCAATACTATCGGTTTCTTGATTTCCACTTGTAATCAAAACTATGATATGAGTTTCATTGTTCCATGGAGTCCTAGAATATATTCTTAAAGCAGCTGGAAAATGGTAGAATAATTGTGCTATCGTTTTTATTTACTGCTTCGTTCTGATTCGTGCTTTTTTATTGAGACTGTTATATTTATCTACAGTTAGTATCGAGAACTGACGTTTCATTCTATACTGAGCCTGTCGAGTGTATTCAAGATTTTCTCAAGTAAAACCTAATAGCTGTATGGTGATGAAAATGTAGAAAAATTCCGAAGATATATCACAGCGGCCTTTTAAACAAATATCAAACAAATATCAATCCTAAAACGTCAAATTCAAAAAAAACTCTCTTCGAGTACCTACATACAATTGAAAAAATTCACATTGATATTCATGCATTTTCTTGTTTCAGGAATATTCGAATATTTTCAATGACTGATCTTATATTGAAAATTGAGAAACTTGTGAAGGTTGAATATATTGAATGTCAATAATCACTGTTGTTTATAATACAAAGTACTCTCTTACATTGACAGATTGCTGATAACGTTGAACATTTCCTTCCACAGATAGTCCCATACATTGTAGATGCTGTCTTTTCAATCGTTCTAATTCTGGTTATCTCCTAATTCCGATTCTATTCATGCGTTCATGCTATAATATGAAGAAAATATACCTCACACCTTTGTCGACTCACTTTCCATTTGTATCCACAGATGAGGGAAATTTTAAGCTATTATCGGCTTATTGTGCAACAAGGAACAATCCTAGAACCCCTAATATTTTTAGTATATTTGTGGAAAAAACTCATCATAACATAGATATTCCTGAATATTAATTTGTTTCCAGATAAAGCCAAAGTCGTTTATGCCCCTCCAGAAATTCACCTGCCATATGGCCGTCCTGCTCTTATCGACTGTCATTTCCGAGCCAATCCACCGCTTACAAACCTACGCTGGGAGAAAGACGGCTTTCTTTTCGACCCATATAATATACAGGGAGTTTTCTACCGTCGCAACGGAAGTCTCTTCTTCAACAGAGTAGACGAAACGCACAGTGGAACTTACACATGTACACCATTTAATGATTTGGGAAGCGCTGGGCCTTCTACTAACATGCACGTGATTGTTCAGAGGCCACCTGTGTTCATCAGGACACCCCATAACTTATATCTGAAGAAACTAGGGGAGACTATTGAAATGCCGTGTGATGCTAAAGACGACGAGGATGGGCATAAACCGACTGTAGTTTGGTACAAGGTGAGTTTTTAGGAACATTCATATCCGTTCTAAAAATCAATCAGTGCAGATCACAAATTGAGGGGGCATACTTGGAGACTGACACCTATCAGAAAACAACTACTCCCCTGGCTGATACCACGAAGGGCGTTGGATTATATCTGACAGGTGTCAGTTCAGATTTATTCACTGCACTGAAAAGTTATTCCTGCATATACTGTTGGCGATACAACTGCCGCAATCGATTTTCAATTATTAGAACACACTTGCAGACCGGTTTCGGACTGTTTGGCCACGAGGAATTGGGCAAATTCCCGATATGCGGTTAGCTACCTCGTTCACAAGCAGATGGGGTGATGACAAACTGGTTTGTCGTTCGCTCCAGTCCATTAACCTACAGTGTAGGTAATATGAAATTGGCACGAAACGAATTGTTCTTTTAGACAGTGTAGGTAATTTGAAACTGGCCACGAAACGAATTGTTCTTTTAGATGATTTAATCAGTACAGATGTCAACGAGTGATCAATTTGAAATTGTTCTGAAAAACACCCCTCTCTTTCATTAAAAATTGTACTTTATTGCGCCAAAATACAAATAAGCAATGAACAAGCAAGTCGGATGAACATTGAATAATCAAAATGAAAAAAGAAATTAATAATTATAATTCACTTAGAATGAGGTTTAAAATCCAAAAGCACGGTAATTAGTGATCTTGAACTTGATCAAACTTTCCATTACTTCTCACAATAGATGCACAATAATAAAATTTCATTCAAATATATAAAGCACTTCTTTCTTACATGGTAAAATTGTAATGTTTCATATTTTGTATAGGTTCAAAAAAATGTGTAGTAGTACTATTATCCAAAAGTAGTTCATTTGTAATCAGAAATGAACGGTGAGGGTCTATTCGACCCTCCACCGCAACCCACAAGGGTTTATTGTGGCTCACACCTATTCACACTCGGCCAAATAAACCCAGCTTCTTAACGAAGCCGATTAGTTTGTTTGGTGAGTGATCTTTCAGGTCAGATGGTGAGAGTACGGATCTGCCGAACTCAAAGAACCTGATTCGGTCCCCAGCGGGGCAAGCACAAAGTATTTGCTCTGCTGTTTCATCATTTTCCAGACAGAGGCGACACACACTGTCTTCCGACAGTCCAAGTCTCTGCATATGATGATTCAAATGACAGTGTCCTGTAAGAAGGCTTGTTAGACATCGTAGTTCATCCTTACTGTAGTCCAACAACTGTTTGGTATCAAGCTTCGAAGGGTGGAATGAGCTAATCCTGGAGGATTCTGCCAGGAAACAGTGGCAGTACTATTAAGTTTCAATATAGAAACACTAGGACCTTTTTTAGAATCTTAGATAGCCTAAATACTACTTCCCCAAAGAATAATGAAGTAAATCGTGCATGGGCACGTGAAATTAGAAAAATAGAAGGTTTTAGCTATGTTGAAAAGATCATCAATTTTCTCAAACCATAACAACCATAAAGCCTCTCTCAGTTTCTAGTGAAGGAAATCGCTGATTTCCGAATGTCAATGTTTCATCAATGAAAATTACTTGGGATTCAGTGTTTGCAGCAGAAGAAACTCTTTGTAAACACAGCTCGATGTTATCGGGTGAACTCATCTAGAATTTGTATATCATTCATTATTGGTGAGATTTGGAAAAGAATTGGCTGTAAATGAAATTGTAGTATCATCTGCAAAGTTGATCGTGATTTCATTCCTCTTGACAAATTGCACTTTTACTTTGAGAAATACAAAGGAAAACATCGTTCATAATTAACTGTTGATTGTTTTCTGGATCATTATTTTCTCGGAGGTAGGATTTGAACCAGGAAGATACAACATACATTCCAATGCTAGAATTTTTTTTCTCAAGTGTATCAAAATTTATAAGGAAAAAGGCAGAGATACACAATATCTCTGAAAAAGGGTGGAGAAACCACTGCTCACTATCTAAGACTACCTTTAAAAGAATAGAGAATGAACACTTCACTGAAAGTAATTTACTTTGTTCCAATTTTAACAGAAAATAGATACAAATTCAACAACTTGGATTACGATATCGCAATTTCCGTAGAGATCTTCAATTTTTTCAAAGTGAAATTAAATTTTCAATGTTAGTTGAGTAGTTTGTGAGTTTATCCATTTCACACATTTTTTTTTCTTTTCAAAAGTGGGATATTGCTAAATCATTACCAAATAACTTTATAGAAAATTATTTAATTGTCAAATGGAATCAAAATGAAATATTGAAAGAGAATAATAATATTGAAAATTAAAATCAAATAATCGAAATATAAATGATCAATGAAGTACCTAAAATGGCAGAATTATTGACATCTTAGCTTTTCAAGAATGGACACATGAATACATTTTAAACTTCCTGATAATGGAGTTGAAAGATTAAGGATCTAGTTCATCTTCCAAAGTTCAGAATTGATAAACTGAGAAATCAGTTCAGAATTGTGTTAGATATAGTATTCAATTACAAAATTACTATTTGTAAAAGAAATTGTGAATTTTATGAGCCTTTTCACAGGATACCTATTCCAAACTATACTGAGTTTTCCTCAGCCAACATCACGAATGAATATGAATGAAATATCGATACAAATCCATGGATTTTTTATTTTTTTAACTAGCGCCTCCGCCAAAACCATCAGTTCTAATATTCAATAAAAACACAAAAGTTTTCAATAAGTCAAATAAGTCGATAATTTTTTCTTATAAAATTTGGTGCAATAATTTTTCTCCCCGGAAAAACAAATAACATTCTTTAAAATATGTTTGTTTCATTAAACATCCATGAATTTCAGAAAAACGGCGATTCTCTTCCCATGGGTAGATACTCAATCAATGAAGGAAATTTAACTATAGTGGATATCCAGGCTGAAGATAAGGGCATTTATCAATGCTCAGCAACCAATAAAGCAGCGACTATTACGGCAGAAACTGAACTTCTGGTAGAAAATGTTCCTTCTAGTGCTCCTTACAATCTGTCTGGTGTATCTTCATCCACATCCGTCCATTTGACTTGGTTGATTGGAAGGCAACGAGCTAATATAGACTTCAGCATTTGGTATAAAACTAGAGATAGTACTGAATGGAAAACATATCCAGTACCCACCACGAAGAATCTGGAAGCAACCATCACTAACCTGATTCCAGGTATGCCCATTTACAAAAAAGCATTTTTCTCAATCAGCATATATTGAAAGGAACTAAGTTTTAGTATTCTTTCTATAAGAAAATAGTATTTTCCGTTAAAAGTTCGCTAGGTGACTTATTAGAGTACAAGTCCGGAATATAAACGAATATTCTTAGAAGACCTAACGAATGTGTATCCTATGATATTTTTTTTATTTTATCTTTGTAATATCAAATTAATGAACTAAATTGTGAATTTCAATTGGGAGTTCAAAATGAAAGAACCAATTTCAGTTAAACAAAATATATATAAATCATAATTAGGAGTCTATACTTTTCTGATACTTTTCATTTACTAAAATTGGTACAAACAAGTTGAAACACCTGGAGATTATTAATATTTATCGATAGATATAAGGACCAATAAAATAAAAATTACCTGTTTCAGTTGAACAAAGTGTATAAAAAATTATAATCAGGAGTCTATCCCATAATTTTTCAAAACTATTCATTCACTATATTTGTTGGAAAATTTATTTTACAAGTGAAAAATCCTAAACTGTATCAATAGATACTTTCATATAATAACTGCATTTTGAAAGGAATATTCGATGTATCTTGTCGGTCAACAAAAGAAAACTGGAGCACTAATGTGACTATAATATTAGCATATTTGTTCAGCTTAGAAACCTTCTAACTCTGTGAAAAGCACTGCACAGCATAACGTGCTTATAGAGATTTTTCCCGTCATCTCTTTTCCCATTCGAAAAAATAGTGTATACCGATCCTCAGTTGAATATTTTTCATGTTCTTCTGGTCATGATCAAAAATGTCCAGATAATGCTTACCTTCTATGATCCTATGCCTACTATTCGAATAAAACAGGATGAACTGTCTTCATTTCTTTGTTGCATTTGTAACATGAAAATTTTCCTTCTATATTCTATATTTCAACTGACAGCATATTCAAATTTCCTCAATTCAAAAGTTTATTCAAAACAGATCTACAAATCATTGTTATTGAATCGTAGGTATTGTTTGGAGTTCAAGTTGAAACATTTCTTCTTTATTACCTAAAACAGAACAATTATCGTGAAATATATCATTTATTTGTGGAAATTAGAAAACATGTACATGATTTTGGTGTTCGAATCTAGTTAACACCAGCTATTTTTCTTGATAACCTTAGGATTCCTTTCATTTATGTTATGTTATTAAAAAAACTATTCAGAACACTTCATATGCTCATCTTTAATTCATCCTGTAGTCCAGAATATGAAGGAATCCCAACAAACTCCTTCATCTCATTTGTTTCGATCTTGTATATTGCTGATGGCAAATGAAATGCACGTATGACAAACAATAATTGAAAAGTATGATCGAGTTCTGTAATTGGTTGAAACCATCAAGAAGGAATGCTCATTCAATAAATACTACATATAAAGTCAGTTTAATCTATTTGGGTAGTCTTTGAACGACAAATTTCGTCAACGTGTACGTCGCGGCGCGGCACAAAGGACGAACTAGTGTTCTTATCAGGAAAATCTCAGACCTGATGGAATTTTCGGTGTGCTTCAGAAACACCAATGAAAGTGTTTCACTTCAGTTACCACTTATTGTGTTTCTCATTATTTTTTAGTGGACGCACTTTCCTTTGAAACGCTAAGTTATTTTCACTAATTAATTTCTGGAATCAACATCTCAACAGAGATCATTTTTTGTGAATATGCCGTCTTCCATCAAGCCACAGACAAAAAAGTCTTTCAGTATTTCCAAGTAGCGTAGGTTCTCCAAACGTCGAAAGCATTTTCATCTGCTTTGGAGTTCTTTTGGGTCTCTGAATACCTTTCTTTTTGCTGTCGGCCATTTTTGGATCAATAAATTAGATACTCCAATTAAACTCATACCACTTAACATCATCAAGAGAAGGATACTTCTGGTATCTGTAGAGTAGGGAGGGTGAGTATAGACTCATAGCACTTAGGCCACATGTGACCCATTGTACATCCTCCCGAGGGGTTGTCCTCCTAGATCATCGTCCATCCTGTCCTTTCCAGGAAGGTGAACAGGTCAGTAGGAGACATCTCCTTTATATTGGCAGGTGTAAGCCAAGACTCGCCGAACACACACTTTCTTTGGCAACCTTGAGGTTATCTCACGATGGCCTCCGCGAAGGTTTTGGAATGTGCAGTGACATTACTGTCGTTGCGCGGCTTCTTCAACCTTCTTGGGGTACCCTCCGTGGATGTGCATAAGTGAGGGAGCTTTCCTGCAGGGGCAGCCTTTATTCAAGGCGCAGCTTTTGACGCCCGCCGCAGGAAGTGCCCTTGCTGTTGGAAGTGATCTGCTATGTCCAGCCTCATTCCAAGCGGTAGACTGTTCATCCCCAGCCACCACCCTAGATTGAGGTGAGCACTTCTGTCCAGCCTAGGGATTGGTTTTTGTTTTTTCTGTTTTTGTGTTGTTTCATTCATGTGTGGTTCCCACGAGTAGCAAGGGAAGAGTTGGTCACCTCTGGTAGAGCCCCGCATTACCAGAGGTGGGCTGATTACGATGAAGTTTCGCTTAGTTTCCCAAGGGGATCGTTCGTGATCGCATATCACCCAGCGGCCATTCAGCTGTCGGCACGATTTCTTACACCTCAGCTTGGGTAGGCTGGTCCACGGTGGCATGTTTTGCAAAGGCTTTTGGGGAGTTTTAGTTCCCTTCACCCCACTTATTCCTGCCACTGACCAGGAGTCCGGCGACCCCGTTTGTAAAGCCACACTGGCTTCGAGGACAGGGCCTCTAGTCCCCTGGCCGTTCCCCTATCCGCCACCTGGGAACGCGCCCGTTAGGTAGCCCAACCCACTGGGAGCAGGATACTTATGACATCACTAAAAAGCTGAACTCCTACGTTATTCAACCCTTTAGACTACATCCACCTTCAGGAAAGACCACCACACCTGTTGCTGATGGCATCCAAAAATAAAGGACTTTGGTGGAGAATTTCCAATTTTTTCTCACGCCAGATTCGATTGTCGTTTCAAGAGTTATTCATTGACAGTTCAACCGTATATCTTATTATTCTTATTCGAATGAATTTTATCTGCAACACTGGTTTCAAATATTACTCTTATACATGGCTCCGATGAAAGTTATATAAATGTGTACATTTTGTAGTGCACTATTTTGAACCTGTGGTGCAGTAATGAATATTACTGGAAGTTTTTTCCCTACATCAAACCGCTATTTCAACACCTCGGCACGTGTTTCGATTACCAAGTAATCATCTTCAAGAGTTTGATCTTCCTCATGAAGATGATCACTTGGTGATCGAAACACGTGTCGAAGTGTTGAAATAATGGTTTGGTGTCAGGAAAAAAGCTCCAGTAATATTCAATGTGTACAATAATCAAATTGTGAGATCCTACTGCAGCTGCAATGACTTTGAATCATTCATTTGTTATATTACCGGCTTTATATAATTTTTATGAAAAGAAAATCTAACTACAATCATATTTATCACCCTTTTGAAGTCTCATTCTGAATTACTTTCTTCTACATGCATATTTTGTATTTCTTGATTTTATCAAAATCAAATGCGTTCTATCCAGAAAAAGGTTGTTCCATAGAAGATAAACCCGCGACCACTCATCTCTAAATACATTGACTTCTAGTTGCCATTAGCAACCTTCTTTGTAAATTATCGGCAAGCCGTGGAATAACAATCATCATGATTAAAAACGGGTAATACATTGTCACAGCTAAGGTTTCCATTACAGAACCCTATTTGTTCAGATATCTTCTAAAATGATTAGGTAGACTTATTGTCATTCTGAACTAAGCTATTCAGTTTGGAAGCAGTTGTTCGGTTTTTTTCCATTCATGAAGATTTATTCCAGCTTCTCTTGAAGTCTTTATGTTTCTCATTGACCTATTTTCTAGTCTGATGGTTTCTTATCACAGATTTTGATACCCTCACAACTGGTAGTGGGCCCATATACGGAGTTCATACTCCATGTTGGTCATACTCATCAGCTTTTTCATTGTTTGTTAATCCTGAGTATTCTGACATCTTTTGCAGTTCACCAGTGTCTTTAGTTCCTCGCCGTATCGCAAGACCAGTTACTATGCCATTCTTGTGCTCTTCGATGCCCCAAGTGCAGCATAGTTGTCTGTGAAAATACACACATCGGAAAAGTCTGGGGATATTTTTATAACATACTAAATATCATAAAAATAAATGCATGAGGTCGTTTAATTTCGATTAAATTGGTACACTCGACCACCCTGTAGATTTCTATGGGTTGAACGAAGCCTGCAAAAACGGTAACTAATCTTTTATCAAGTTTTTTACAAACTGTAGGTTTTCGGCTGAAATGAATAATCTGAAAGTGTCGAGTTTGTACATTCTATGTAGTTCTTGCTCAGCAATTAAACTGGAAATATTGTGCTTTAACATGGAACGCCATCACTTACCATTGGCTGAGATGAATAGAGCTGTAGGGCTTCTTCAAGGTGGCATGCGACAAAATGATGTAGCTCTTCGTTTGGGGGTCTCCCAAAGTGTTATCAGTCGATTGTGGCGGTGTTTCCGTGAAACTGGCAGTCCAGCAGAACAACATCCAGGGCGAGAACGCGCTACAACTGCAGTTCAAGACCGATTTTTGATCTTAACCGCAAGAAGACAACCGACAATCATAGCACCTGAGTTGGTTAACGTGTTGCAGCAGACGCACCAGGTAACCATTGGTCGTGATACTGTCAGAAATCGACTGCATGAAGCATATTTCCACAACAGAAGGCCACTTAGATGTCCACCTTTGTCGAGAGGCAATCGCGGTAGAAGATTAGAGTGGTGTCAAAGAACATCAAAACTGGGATGCAAATGATTGGGCCACAGTTTTGTTTACAGATGAATCCAGATTTGGATTTCATCCAGATTCTCGTCGAGTGAGACTGTGGAGACGACCTGGAAATAATGAACGTTTGAGACACGTCCAGGAAGTCCACACATACAGAGGTGGTACAGTAATGCTATGGGGCGGAATCATGATCGGCGGCAGAACCGATCTCGTTTTTCTAAATCGCTCCCTCACAGCTCGACAGTACCTCGACACCATTCTCCTACCTATCGTCCGTCCGTTTGCTGGTGCTGTTGGTGAAAACTTCCACCTAATGCACGATAATGCTCGTCCACATGTCGCGCGTCTAGTGAATGACTGGCTCACCAACGAAGGAGTTGATGTATTGCCATGGCCAGCACAATCACAGGACTTGAATCCCATCGAGCAAGTGTGGGACATGCTTCAACGAAGAATTACTCCGCATATGGGGAATATTCACATAACGTTTCAATTGAGAGAACTTTTAATCGCTGAATGGGGAAATGTACCTCAACAAGACATTGACAATCTCATTTTGTCGATGCACGATAGATGTAGGGCCGAAATAAACCAGCGTGGAGGTCATACTTTGTACTGATTTCAATTTTTTTTGTATTATGATTTTTTTCGGGGTGCCAAAGAAGAGCCATATTTTTTTTTAGTTTTGCTTATATGCGCACTCAGTATTTTTGACCATTTAATAAATTTTGTTGTGAGTTACATTCGTTTAATAATCACCCGTCAACTTTTTTTTTCCCTAAAGCGATCTAAAAAAAATTATTGCCATTTTTAAAAATATCCCTAGACTTTTCCGATGTGTGTATTATTCTGTCTGGATGTGTGATGATCAAATGGGAACGATATATTCATATAGCTTCTTTAGCTGAAAATAATGTAGCTAGGATAATTTTCGATTCATATCAGTTGTCTGAGATGAAGGTCATCACACTTCAATATGTATAATCGAATCCACAAAAAATGAACAAAGTTTTCAAGAAGTGAATTGGGTCATCCTGTAAACCATTCCAATGCCAAACGAAGATTTTTTTTATTTTTGTAATTCAGGTACGGAATATGAGTTCATGGTGCTCTGCAAAGACGATGACGGCGATGGTCTCTTCAGCAAATCCATTCTTATTTGGACCAAAGACTTGGATGGTGAACCAGAGAAATTCAATGGACGCTACCCGCCTGTGGGGTACCCTAGAAATGTAACTGTGTATCCAACAGGTACAGGACTCATGGTGAATTGGCGTCATCCAGAATATGGATTGGAATTTCTCAAATGGTATATAGTGAGATGGTCCAGGGTAGAAGACGATTTCATTTTTGGAACAGCAGATACAACTAATACATCGTATTTGAGTAAGTGCTTCCAGAAAAAAAGGTGTCTAACTGTAACTTAGAGTAACTATTACATCTAATCTCACACATTTGCAACTCAGCTCCATCGAGAGATACAAACTGTTTTTGAACATCATATCCATGTCCAACCATTCCATGTCAAGTTTCCACAAATTCACCCTAGCATTCGAAGGGTTAATTATTCAACCTGAATCAATTATCTCAAATAACCCCTCGAAATAGAAAAAACCCAAAACCGACTTATAATTATAGTTCAAGTAAACGATATAGTGAAACCTACCTTCCCACAGCTCCCCTTTAATAATATAGTTAGGGGGCTAACCAATTTGGTTATTCAATGAACATTTCTGATTATATAAGAATCACAATAACTATATAATATATAGGGTGTTAATTAAGTACGTACCATAAATTTAACAGACGATTCGTTAGGTAATTTCAAGACGAAATGTTCACATAAACATGGGTACGCAAATCCTTCGTTCTCAAAATACAGGGTGTTAAAATAAAAATAAAAAAAGTTATTCGTAAATATCTTAAATATCCTTTACCTAATTTTGTTGTAATTTGGCAATGGTATTTATAACATCAAGGAGCTGATTTAGCCCGAACGTGATTCAATTTATTAAGTCCAGTGGCGTCTCGAGCGGGATTTGAACGAATACTCTGCTAGGAATCGACTTCT